CTTAGTGGTGCAAGGTATACTAAAGAAAAAACCCAGAACACTTTAAATTGTTGCTCTAGACTTCAGTTTGAGCAGCAACTCTAAATCTAGGTTGTCAGAACACAGTGAATGTATATTTGAGGAATTCCTTTAAATACGCTTTTTCCTTTTAGGTTATATGTACATTTGGCCCAAGTTACATAAATGGAACTATGGTATCTACAATTAAAAGAAGACTGAAAGATACTGTGGTTAAAGAGAAGGTCATTAAGTCAAAGGGTCTTTTCATATCTTGCATTTATTTTGAAAAATATTACAGGTACTCTGGCAGGGATAGGACCTGCTCCTTGTGATATTTCCTCCCCAACTCTGATAGACATAAGTATTCCAGAGTTGCAGTACAGCAAGCTGGACCCACGACCTATATTGTTCTTTGTGTTCCACATCAGTGTGAATGCCCAAGGCAATGCTTTTGAATGCTGAATCTATTCTTTTTTTTTTGAGACAGCAAAAAAGGAGCAGTTCTGGAGGCCATCATGGTTGCCTTTTTGTTGTAAAAGGGTTAATACAATGATAATACTCTGACAAACAACCACCTTTAAATAATAATTTAAGTACAATCATAAGCAGAAATGCACACACATAATATTTACTTAACCTTACCTTGCAAATATGGTATTTTCATATTTTTTACTTAAATTTCTCAGGACAGATGAAGCCTGATCACAGAGAAACCTTTAAACCTGGTTTTAAAAATTAAAAGTAGGGTTTTTTGCATAGCAGGCTTTTTTTCCCTGGTAATGTCTATTTTAGTATCTTTGCTTGATGTAGTTATGTAGGAAGAAAATCCACTCTAATAACATCAGGGGAGGGTCCAAGAAACCGTACACCCCTTGTGCTGGTTTTCAAAAAAATAGTACCTGTCTGTTAAGAAATGGGAACATTTCATAAAGTACAAACACAGTACCTTTGAGACTGAGAATTCACGGCCCAAGATTTCCATGGCTGGCAGGCAGGTTTTCCTGAACTGGCAAAAGTAAAACCAACTTTAATGGGTAAATAGCAAAAGAGAAGGAAGGCAGGTATTTAACAATCTGAACAGAGGAAGTGAGCATCAGCTTTTGATGTTCAGCTTTACTTGTTAAATGTGAAACTATTATATAAGCCCAGCAAAGGGCTTGCAAAGGTTTTAGTACTTTCAATATCTACATGAGATTTTAAGAGTCTTTTTTACAGCTATTGGGACAAAGTGGAATTTTATTTGAGAACTGGTAGTAAGTAGCATAACAGTTGAAAAACATCTAGAAATGTGGCTGAAAAATAGTCTAGTATCTGTCCAGATGCCAATTCAATTTCATTGAATTGGAGTTTAACAGCAAACTACTATCATGGAAATGTTATTACAATTAATCTTTCTCTGTACTTAATTTCATTGTTAAACTAACATGAAATAAATAATGCTTTAGATCAAGCAAGGAAATAGATAGATTAGAAGGAATCAGATCTTCAACAACTGTTGTACACTGACTCTGGACATGTTCTTCTTTTCATGACTGACTGTTCTGCTTAAGGGTATGAAGACTTAGGTGACACAGAATGTATTTGCTGTGACAAAACTGGTAAACAAGACAAGATCTTGGAAGATGCCGTCTGAAGATACCAAAATACATTTTTCTGAAGACTATTTTCATTTCAGTCTTCCAGAATGGCTAAAACTAAAATGAAAAAGATAAGACAAATATTTTAATGTATATATATATATAATTATTTTGCAAAATCACACTTTCAATCTTCTATGATCCAGCTTCCAATACAGGCAGTAGGAATTTTATAATTTTCATCTCCAAGGACTAATGAGTAAAGAACAAAGATTAAGCCCCTTACTTACTTTATCTTAAAAACTGATGGAGCAGTGGAGGTAATCCAATCAATTTGGTTTTGTATACAGCATACGAAATCAAGATCATCTGATTTATTTTAATTATATCTGCATTTTCACTTGCTTTTACAAAATAATATACTTTACCATATGAGGATATGACACTGCTAGAGCTCATGACACATGATCTGCACTAGTACTTATAATTTAATATTTATTTAAATACTACCTAACAAAACTGCAAATTTAACTTGAGAGTAGTAAGAACTACCATTTCCATTAGATTCTCTGAAATGCTTCACAATGAAAGCTGGTGTCATCTGCGGTTTTTAAGGCAGTTAAACATGGGGCTTTTTCCCTTAATAAGTTTCCAAAATGAAATCTTTTATAAGGTGTCATGTTTATTGTTTATTTAGCTTTTAAAAATTCAATAACAAACAAGTTCCCAACATCCCTTTATAAAAGCAAAAACATTAGGGTCTAACACAAGAGAATACTGAGCAGAGAGTAAAACAGAGCATCATGTTAGAAGATTGATCTAAAAATAACACATTCATAGAGCACCTTAGTGAATCACATTTATCATAGTACACATCTTAAATATTCTAAACCTGGTTTACCTGAAAATTGTTTTCTCCTGGTTTGTTTATTCTGCAGTAAACTAAGGGCTCATTCTTTTAATTCACAGTGAGTAGTATTTTACTTCCCAAGAATTCTTATGTCAGAAGGATGTGTGGACATACCTATGTGCAGAAAGGTAGAAGACAAACTGGCTTTTAGTTAAGAAAAAAAAAAAGGCCCAAGGACATTATATAATGAGGAATCCCAGACTCTAGTAGGAACAATGCATGTATGTGTGTTAAGAAGAGATCCATCACTGTGCAGATCACAGTGAAATATTTTCAGTATTCACATTTTGCTATGAAAATATTGATGCCCACAAATGAAGTCAGGAAATACACACTAAGAGAACCAACTGTATAGACCAATGAACTGAACTTTATAACACTGATAATCAGTGAAAAGAAGAGAATTCAAACTTTGAGAAGTATTAGTAAAGATATAAACGTCTGATTAAATATTTTCCTTTCAGAAAGCAATCACTTTTCCTGGCATACAAAGAAAAAAACATATTTTCAAACATATATATTTGAAATCTGTCTGAAAACCAGTTATCATTGATTTCATGGCTCCTTTTCTTTTTTTTTTCTTTTTTTTTTGAATCTGGTAGCCTTTTTAATGTGATTGAGTTGGATAAAATATGCATTCAGTGAAGGAGAAGCTGGATGCACTATGGTACGTGTTCAAAATACTAAACATTATCTTGCAGAACTATATTCTAATCTCTTCTGGAATAAATGTATTGTTAATTATTTTTCCAAATCAACTCGATTTCAGCAATAAGAGTGGTGCATACCTCTCATTCCTAGCTCATATCACTATCCACAGCCAAGGAAAGCTTTCTCTGAGGGCATTTGTGGGTTTGACCTTCTAAGACTGGTAACAACTAGATGAGAGTTCTCACTGCTAAGCCTTTATACCAAGGCAAGTCTCATTACTACTAATTTTGAAAAGGAAAGCAGTTTTGTTAGGCTCGTAATTAAAAAATACCATTTAAATTCCTAGGGCTTATGTTGAGAATGTTTGATTTTTACTAGTCATTCACATTGTGTATGGTTTTGACTACAAGAACATTTGAAATCTTGGTGTCTTCTAATTGTCTTCTAATTTAGAAGATTGCTTCAGACATACTACACTTCTGAGTAAAAGTAAAGATAATGTTTCTGGTTAACCTAATTATGTTTACTTCGACACTAATAGTTAAGGATCAAGGAAAGTGAATGAAGTACAAGTTAATTATCAAATGAGTCCAGAGGAGGGCCACAAAGATGATCAGAGGGCTGCAGCTGGAGGAAAGGCTAAGAGAGTTTGGATTGTTTGGATGGAGAAGAGAAGGCTCCTGGGAGACCTTATAGCAGCCTTCCAGTACCTAAAGGGTACTTACAATAAAGTTCAAGAGGGACTTTTAACAAGGACATGTAGTGACAGGCTTCAAACTGAAAGGAGAGCAGGTTTAGATTAAAGAAGAAATTCTTTACCGTGAGGATGGTGAAGCACTGGAACAGGTTGCCCAGAGAAGCTGTGAATGCCCCATCCCTGGCAGTGTTCAAGGCCAAGTTGGATGGGGTTCTGAGCAATCTGGTCTAGTGGAAGATGTCCCTGCCCACGGCAGGGTGGTTGGAAATAGGTGATCTTTAAGGTCCTTTCAAACCCAAACTGTTCTGTGATTCTATGAAAGGAAAAATAGAAGAATGACAACTTATTAAAAGAAATGGGGATTAACCAAAAATTAATTGTAAAGTAATTATTTTATAAACATGGAAGATTAATATTAAAAAGCAAGACTTTCTTTGAGAAAAAGATGCTTTTCTGAATTATGTAGAAGCATATATCAGAAGATTTATTTGACAATGTACCTCTCCTTTGTACTGGATTTGACAAACCTGGACCTGAATTTATACAGGTTTATGAACCAGGAAAAGCAATTGCATTGATGTTTGTGTAGTTTTTTAAAATAATTCACTCTTCTGAAATAGCCGTGTTAGGTTTGGATGTACTCATACAGTCATTAATTCATTCTTGGTCAGTGCAGGCATTCTTTAAATTTCTTACCTTCCAGGTTTAACTGAAAAATCATAAATGCAATCAGATGATAACCATAGTACTCATGAGACTGACAATAAAATGTTCATCTGTGTCGCACTTGCTACTCATGTATTTTTAGTGTCTACTGAGATATCTCAAGAATTTCTTAGAAGAATAAAACCCACAGATTCTGCTAATCTGAATGTATGCATATAGTATAAATCATATGCTATACAACCTCCCTGTGTGATGCACTAGAAGCCCAGAACTGATACTGAAGTCATGCAGACTGAGAGAACTTTTCTGATTTTTGTCTAAAGCCAGACAAAATATTCTTACAGGAAATATGCCTACCAGAGGCAGTAGGAAGATGTCTACAAGACTAACATGATTAGAATTAGAAAACCGCAAAAAAAAACAAACCCCCAAAAAACTAATTTAGGACCATATTAATTTCTCATTGAATAAGGATTCCTCATTTTCTGTCTCTTCTATTGACTATAAATCACCCAGAGCAGACTGGAGCTTACATTGACATCCAATTGATTAACCTAGTACAGTTTGTATTTGTATCATACTTAAACTAGACGTGTATATATGGAAGACATAAAAGTCTTCTGTTATGCTAAAAGCATGCTGTAGTATTCAGCTATATGCAAATTTCTCAGGGAGAGTTCTACATATCATGAAGGAACAAAAAATGTTGCATCTGGGATTTGTTAAGATGCCTGTCTAAGAGAACAGTGGTGCCCTTGAGTTGCTTGGGTTTGATATTGACATCAGTACTCAAGCAGAAACCTTGCTTACTGTGAGACATTTTGTTCAAGTAAGGAGAGTAAATTGGTCCCCTAAGTAATATAGAATCAAAGTACTGCTAATTTCAGTGAAAGGACCCAGAAAAAAGAACAAAGGATATTTGTTAAGACAGAATAACAGATGCAATTATCTCTTTTTTTACATAATTTTCATGTCAGATTTATAATTTTACATACATTCCCTTTTGAAAAGAAGTTGCAATGATTAGCCACACTATTTTCTTACAGTGCTCAGAAGGAAACTGCCAGTTTCAGGACAGATTTCCTTGTCACAACTGCCTGTAGAAGAAACACATCACCAACTACAGTACAAATGCATACTATCATAAGATTTTAAATTTTTATGTGCATAAGGTGCAATTCAGTCTTTTTTCACAACATACTGGTCATAGATTTAAACCTTTTGGCAACTCTAGGATGGTTTTTTGTTCTGTATGGTCCACAAGATCTCTCTTCCAGAGAAATAATAATAAAAAAAGAGTTTAAAGATCTCCTATAAAATTCAAAATTTTCAGCAAATAAATGTTTGTATATTGCCTGACCAAACTAGTAAAAAATAAATTGCTTTACTTGTTTTGTGATTTCCCCAGATTTTCTACGTCTTTAGTGAAGAGTTGTAAGTGTCAGTTTTTCTGGGGAATGTCACCAGTTGGAACCCAGATGATTGTGTGCACTTTGTACCTGCTCAGGTGGCTTTGCTTTACTGATTTGGTGTTTGAGAAGTCCAGACGCTAATGCTCCTAATGATCAGCCATTCTTTTTGACTTTTGGTAACAAGGATTCTCATGCAGTTAATATCAAACAGAACTTTGTGCTCTACATCAGTTATTTCAAAATTCCCATTTTTGAACTCCCCTAGTCTCAAGTAAGTTGTACATTGTCTCCCTTTTTTATTGCCTACAATCTTTTCTCCTACTTCCAGGGCTCCATGATGTAAAATATCATTTTGCCGATCTTCAGTTCCAGTGACAACTTTAATTTTACTGATTTTAATGGGCTTTTCAAATACAATTCCATAGAAGTCTCCACTAGAAGGAGCTTTGCCCCAGAAATACTCATCAATGCTGCTGTAAGCCTTGCTTGCCTCATAGTTTTCAAATACATTCATGTTGGTGTGCAAGTTTGCAGGTGGGTTGTCAGGGATATCAAATGATTCCTCTTCAAAATCATCATCCTTTAACTTGTTTTCAGCTCCTTTGTAAGATGAGTAGTATCCCATGTGCTGGAACAAAGATGGCTTAAAACGTATCACTTCCTTTTGAGCTAACAGCCCGCGAAAGTGGATGAGCAGCCAATCGCAAGGCATTTCTTGGTAAAACATCAACAGAAAGTGAGCCAGGCGTGGGAGATCATGAGAGTGATAAAGCTTTCCAATGTATCCCAGTTTGGAGAATTCCAAAGTCACCCAGTAGGATCCTTCTCGTGAGGTAATTACTTTCTTAACAGCAGTCAAAAAATTCTTTGAGCAGCGAACATCATCTTCTAGCATCACATAATAGTCAGAAAGATTAGCACAAAAGTTTAGAAGGAAAGCATAATCTACATTTTGTTTTGATCGAAACTTCACACGGTCCTCTGGGTCATTGTAATTTCTTTTGAGGCCATCCAGTACAGGATAATAATCCTCAGGGACGTGAATAACTATTAATCTGCCTGCAATTATATGATGTGCAAATTTCTGTGAAATATCCTGGACGATCCCTTCACACCAGGCTGAGTCAAAATCTGCCAGTTGTACTACCACTGCGATTTCTTTGAGTTCTTCATAGCTTGACTGTTCAAATATGGACTTGATGGTCTCAAGTAAATAATTTCCCTTTTTCCGTTTTACAGAGGATAGTCCAATTGTAAGATACCCTGTACAAAAGACAATTTAAACAAAAACTGGGTATTTGATATTGGAAACAATTTTGTCAGAAAGCTGTTCTCCAGAGCTCTGCTTATATGAAATAAATCTTGTGAACTGTTAAGAGTGAGAAATTTGGTATGTGAACTTAAATTGCATGCAATAAAGGACCTTTATTGCCTTTTTGTAAAGAAGCAATGTATTGCAAGCAAATAGACATATGGAGACTATTGTGTTAAACATTTACTTGTTAACTGCAAGGAATAGCATGTCGTGGTCAGATGTGAAAGCAATGTGTATGTATACACCTGGTAGATGGAACCACACAGAAAATTATAAGGGTTTAAAATCTGCTGAAGAAAGGGGTTTATGAGGCGATTACTCACACAGTATTTTTAAGGCTAAGAACTACCAAATGCAGCACAAAAATATGATACATAGACTAATTACCAAACTTTTATAATTTTAAACCCTCTAAAAGTCTAGCAACTTATACACAACTGCACAGTGTTATGGATTTTGCAAGGATAATTTATTTTCAACATGTTCCTTCTTTAGCTGAATTTGTCCAGTTTTTCCTTGCTAGTTCTTTGTCTAAGTCTTTTTCAGGACTCATTGAGCATTTTACAGGGAACTCCTTCTTGTAAAATGCAATTTAGATATTATTTTAAAGTAAAAGAGAACTTATTTCTCTTCTTGCTTGTACAAATAATTTTTAATGCTGTTACATCTTTCTAGAAAGAGATGTATTTTAATTATAAGGGAAGAATTTTCATCTCTGCCATTTTGTAGTCACTGCCATTGCATTTTTACCAGCATTCGAAATAATTTTTTTTCAGATATTTGCTAATACATCTCTATTTTTCTAACTTCTGATGTAAAACATTTTAAGACTTTATAATTGACAGGGTGTACTTCAGTTGAACCTACCCCAACTTTCTTAAAATATGATGTTTTGTAAAAGACTGCTTTGATATAGTGATTCATTGTTTCCCTCGAGGCTTAAGTCTGTTCAAAAAGCAGTTGTACAGTGAAGTACAATCCCAGAAGTCATTTACACTGCCTACAGAGCCCAAAATTTTTAAAATCTAATTTTAACAAACTTTATAGCCTTCCACAAATAGCAAACTATTTTATTTTACCTTCTGTTTTTGAGCTTCTGAGCTTTGAGAAATGATTGATTTGGAACACAAAGGACACCTGTATAAAGGCTAGGAATGGCCATATTTCACTTCTAGAGGAAAGTCTTGAACTTGATTTCTTGTCTGAAATCAGAGTAACTAAATAGTCCATATGCAGATAGCTCTGAGAAGAATCCTTCTTTACTTTCCCCATAGTAGCACAATTCACATCCCTTATTATCACAGCTAAAGGAACAAGGAGTTCCATTTGCAGCTGCTGGGCTGGCAGAATAGGGAACCTGAAGGCTGTACCTATGGGATCCCAAGCATACTTAAGATTGGATTTACTGGTTATACAGGCAGAGATTGACAGGATGGTCTCAAAGAGTTGTTACAGAAAACCACCAGCATATATACCTTGCTTCTGCTTTCTAAATCATCATCATCTTGCCTGGGAGGAGGCATCCATAGAAGTATGCTCACACAGACCATCCGGGGGCTGCTTGCAGGCTGTCTGCAAGTCAGCCATTTGGTCAGAAGGTAACCAGGCTGTGGGGCAATCACTAGGTCTGGACTTGCATCCACTCTAGAACTGCCTGTGGAGAGATAACTGTCCCACTAACTTTTTTGAGACTGTCACTGCTTAACTCAGCCCGTCTTGCCTAGAAATACCAGAGAGACTATATGGATTTCACTTGTTTTTAAATTGCCTCATTTCATAACATTCAGATTGCAGTTACTTACTTTTCCTTGGCAAAGGTGTGCCAGCTAAGTAGCGATAGGAAATGTTTATAGATCCTGAGAAATTAGACAAATCTTTAAAAGTGTGAACATAACGCTCTGGGTTGAGCTGGTGCGTGGCTGTTTCTCTGATTTGTTGCTTGCCCCCTTCCTAATAGTGGGAAAACAAAGAGAATAGAGGAGGGAGAGAGACAGAGAGAAACACATTTGTGAGTGCCAGCTAAAGAGGAAACATGGACAGGCAGGTTTCCAAGAATAACATTTTTCAGTGTCAGCTTTTGTGAAAGCATGTATATGTCACCTCATTTAAAAAAAAAAAACAAAAACAAAGCAAAACAAAACAAAACAAAACATTACTGAAACATTACAGAAAATCTACCACAACCCTTCAGATTACAGTAACAGGAAAAGAAAAACATATTTTGCACAAAGTCTCTGGAAAAATAGCAAATACTAAATTATAGGCAAAAAAATACTGTGGTATTCAAAAGAGGGTTTTGTCAGCAACAGATAAGATAACTTTCATCGATGTAGAAGTGGGGGAGATTTTTTCAGTGATTAAAAAAGCCACTGAACCTGTTGCAAATGAATGACAAAACTCGATTCTAGCACCTGGCTCATTTTGCCATTTTTCTGAGAAGTTTATACTCAGATTTGTGATAAGAAGAAATACAAATGATCATGCAGACAGGAAAAGCTTTCTCTGAATTTGATGAACACTGTTTGATGGCATAGAAAAAAAGGCACATTTCTCACCATGCCTCCTCTTCCTGCCTCCTCTTTCAGTCTTTTTCTTCCAAAAGGCTTTCCTAACAATAGTAAAGTCACAGAAGGGAAAGAGCAGCTTCATGAGTAGTGCCCTATCCATAAGGTCACTTGGGCTTCAGGAAAAATTTGTTCCTTAGTCCTTAAGAAAAGGGAAAGTATCTAACAGATTGTAATGTCATGAGACTGAATTTAAAAGTAGGAATGCTTGTTTAATTTACCTGGTTTGATCTTAGTCTGATGGCAGGCCCGTGTAGAAATGAGTTCATTTATTCTGATATATACATTATCTCTCGAGTAATTTCTCTCTATTGCTTCTGTGCTACTTTGTATTTCCTCATATGTTATGAGAGGAAGTTTGATGATCGGATTCAAGATTAAAATATAACTCAATGGTCTAGGAACGGAATACACCAAAACTTTAGGAGATTTTCCATGAAAAATATCAGATGGAAAAAAAATGGGTTGGTCCAAAAACTTCTTTTTTTTAAAACCAACCTTTCCTTAATGTCAAAACATTATGTGCCATTGGTTCCAGAATAGAGCACCAAAATTCCTTGTTTCATAAGAAGGTTTTGGAATGGAAACCCATTCTGCTCAGGTTTTCCTACATAAAAAGTTTCAAAATGTTTAGAAATAGACAAAGTCAGAACAAAATGTTTTGATTTTAACAAGCAAAATATTTAAGCTGACCACAAAAATTTTCCTTTTTTTTTAATAAATGCCTTCTGTGGCTAACTTTTTTATTTTATAGTTGCTATTTTCATTCCTTTGTTGAATGATGAGCAAAACTGACATATGGATTTTTCCAAAAGATTAAAATCTGTTTCTTCTATCTCAGACTACTATGCAGAGGTCAGTGAAGCTGAGAAGCTTGATTAATTTTCTTTGTTTGTCTTCTCTAGTTTTTTCTATGATGGTTCTGGCTTTCATCTGTTAACTAACCTCTAACTTACATTCCAGTGTTTGCTGAAGCTTGCGGGTTTTATATGGGTGCCATAAGTTGAAGTGCCAGAAGTTCTCCATTCTTTATGGAGATACTCTGCTCTGCTAAAGATGCTGTGTCAGTTACAATAGTACTATTGTTTTCATAGTCCCCAAAATAGTGATAAGTATTCACAGAAGAGCACAAAACACATGTTTTGCTTATAGTTCATTTACAACTCTGAAAAGGTTTAAAAACTCCACTGTGTATATTGTGATATCTGGTATATATTAATTCAGTATGTCTTCAAAATATTTGACCAAATGTAGTTCATATGTTGCAGATGAAGTACCTTAAACTGCTTTTCTAATATACATGCATCAGCAGTGCATAACTGCACACCCTCTATCCAATATACTTAAGCAATTTTGCTCTTTCCATTTCTGCAGTAAATGCCCTGCAGAAAACAGTGATGGGATTTTTTGGACATGTGATACTCTCTGAGCAAAACCAGAAAGGTTCTCCTCTCCCTTTTAAAGACTTGCCATAACAAATCTCACTTTAATATTCTAATATGTTGAAAAAGACCACTCATCTAATCTTACATGTGGTGCCAGAGACACCAACTGCACAGTCCCTTGCACAGCCTGCTGCCTGAGATTGGGAAGAGGAACTCAGGGTCAGTTGCCTTTCTTTTATCAGTTACCTTCAGCAGATAGTCCAGCAGGTGATAGGCTACAATTCAGAGTGCCTTTGGGGCTCTGAGGACTTTCATATTCTCATTCCCTGAGGGGAACTGATTAGTGTGTTGTCCTCAAAGGCTTTCCCCAAGTGTCTCTCTCCTCACCACAAATACTGAAATTGCTCATCTTTTACCTCAACAGAGAAAACACACCAGACATAGTGTGTTTGGAGCTGTCAGACATGGTCAGGGAAGTTGAAAATAAATAAACTAAAAAGTCAACAGACTAACACATTTGAAAAATACTTGATGGACCATAAAAGTATCAAGAGATCTGGAAGAACTGTCAGGAGACTTGGCAAGAGACTTGGCTGGAAGCTACATGAATACAAACATGCCAGAACTGTGATGAGAGAAGCAATGAAAGAGAGAGAATTTATAAAAAAATGGGAAAAAGGAGAGAAAATTAAGAATAAGACATGGAGCCATCTGGGGAGCTGGCAAACAGGACAGGAAAAGATTTCAAAAACAGACCAAGAGGAACACCATTAGGAGTAATAATAAAAGCACTTTCAAAAACATCTGAAGGACTTTGAAGCAATTAGAGAATGGGGAAGAAACATCAGGGCAAATACCACTAGGGAAAAAAAAAGTGACAAGCCAGGTCAAATTTGATCATAACCAAGAATTGCTAAATAAATAAGAGTGCAAAACTTTAGTTTTAGAGAAAGCAATATATCTGTAACGGAGTAATATGATAGAGGCATGGGTTATGTTTTCAGTGACTTAAAAAAATACTAGTATAATCTTAATTTGTAAATATTTACAATACTGTTATAAGTAATTTCAGAAGTAAAATATTTTGAATTAAAATAATTAGGAAGTTATATATGGTTCTGATAAGTAATTTAAAGATTTTACTATTTGTGTATTATACCTTTTGTAATACTGTTGTGTTTCTTTTCAGGTCCAACTGAGATTGAACTTCACCTTTCAGAATATTGGGAAGCCAGCCCATACTTTCCCAGTTCAGTTCAAGATCAAGATAGGAATGTCTAATAACATCACAATATAATATATTCAGTTTAGTCATTTTACTATTTGCAAGCTCCAGTTGTTAAACCACCATGTTCTTTTACTGGACCCAGTCCAATCTCCAAAGAACTGGAAATCCAATCCACTAATCAAGACTTCAGGGCTTGTTTCACATTCAGCACTGAGACACCCCTATGTTACATACAAACTGTAGAGTTATGTTACATTGTTAAAAGCTTATTTTTTGAAATTCCTAACACAAATCTTTCTATTTTTTTTTTTCAAAATCATAAACTTACACTAAGTTGAATTCATGTCTAATTGTTAATGCTGTAGAACTGAACCTGTCAGACTCAAATCTGAGATACAGAAGGTGAGAAAAACATAAAATAAAACCACTAAAAAGAAATTATTCATGCAAGGAGCTTAAAGTAGATGGAATTAATGAGAGTTCCCTTTTATAATTTAATTTTTATAATAGCCTTTAATGCAGTATTCACAGGTGAGATTTGCAGTGTGGACTGAAATTAGCTCACACAAATATTTCAGATGTAGTCTATTTTCAACATTAAAATTGAGGGAAATCCAGAAGTATGGAGAATACAGAGAATATTCTGACTCAAAGGGCACCTGATGGAGATACTTTCATGTTTTGCTATATTCATTATCTCCCATACTTCCAATAAACAGAGACATATTTACTTCTGTGAAAAGGAATGTTAGGATCCTACTGACACACTGTATGAGGTATACGTTAGGAACATGGTTTCATCATAAAGGACACATTTTGAGGATACTTCACTCTTAATGGTACACAGAGAAAATTGAAGGAATTATGAAATTTAGCGTTTAACTAGGGATGCATCCTGTTTTGTTGTTCTAGGATAATTTCTCCCATCTAAAAAACTTACCAAAACATAACCGTCTTCAATGTACAAGTTCATGAACAGCAAGCAAACGACAAGGATTCCTAAGAATGACACTGCTGATCTTTTCCGCAAGCATCTCATTTTATCAAAATATTTCAAGCTGTGTCTCATGTGAAGAACAGCATACAATATTGTCACCTATGAAAGAAAACCACAGTATTACAAGAACTGTCTGCCCGATAAACATTATAACAAATCAACTTACCTTCAGATATATCAAATCCCTTCAAGCACACATAGACTATACACTTTCAGGTGAAATTAATTTCATTTAACAATTGCCATCTTCAAGTTCCATATACAATCTTAACTATAATTTAAGCTTCCCTTTTTTGCTCCTTTGTTTGTTGTGGGGGTTCTTTTTTCAGTAAATAAAAAAACAATTGCCGTACCCATTTTAGGTTGGAATTATGATGTCACTGTGGCAGGTGTGCCTCAGCAGTTCAGTTTCCCATGCTTAACTGTCAGATCCCAACTTGATGGCTAGAGATGATGCTGTGCATTGTTTTCCTATGTACTTAGGTCTCCTCCCAAAGACAGGTCAAGCCAACAGGCAAGAACAAAGCTATTGCATGACTCAGTGTTGTTGCCAACAGAAGAATTCTGGATACCGGAACTTCCAGGCACAAATGAGGTACCTTCCCTGAAGTGAGAAAGCAGTAGCAAGGCTGTGCAACATCCCTTAGCCTTAGACCTCTGTATCACAATGGAAAAACTCACTGGAGATATCATTCTCTTCTTCAGAAGAAAGGTGTATGTCTGTCTAAAACCAAACACATTTAAGCAGAGTATTGGGAAGTCCTGACCTAATTAAATGAATCAAAGAAGGGGGGCATGGAGGACTATAAAGCCACTCAGTAGTTCTATTCAAGGTCAAGAAGAAGGACTGCCTACTCACATCACAAAGTTGCACATTGATTTTAGGCATTTTACTCTTTAAAACAAGACGAATGGTGTTCTTGCCCACAAAATCATAAACAATAACATATGTAGGACTACATAGGTTTGAACAAGATTTGGCAACAAACTGAAGACTGCACTGCCCAAACTCTAAGGGATTATTAGCAAAAAGATAGATTATAAACTTATTTATGTCCTCGCACATATTTTGACTATTGTCGGTAGCAATGCCTGACTTTTCAATGGAATTTAATATATAGAAGTCATATAAAAATTGAGAGTTTGAAGCTAGCCTGTGTGAAGTAGTAAAAAACATAACATGCACAATGATTAAACCCTGCACTTAAATACCATGATTTTCAAAAGCGTTGAACATCTAAACTGATACAAAGTAGGCCAAATTAGGATGTCCACAAAGATTTGTCATGTCATATAGAAAGGTTTCTGCCCTAATAACAAAAAACCTTCCAAGACCAAAATTCAATATATATTTGTTTTGCCAAACTGAATAAATATATCTAATAATATAAAATATGAGTCCATTAGACTCTAGAGAACTGGGAGGTAAATATATCAAATATTAGTAACACAAATGTGTAACTGCAAGGTTTTGTCTGTATAGATTCACAATGAACTGCAGTAAATGGAGACTGATTGTAGACAGAGTATTTTTAAATTCACTATGATGAGAATAAACCCAATTTACATGCTGCATGTAGAAAAAAGGAATTAATAAGAATTTAGATTTTTGTCCATATTTGTTTGAGGGTGGGCTGAATTACAGAAGCCTGATTATTCTGAAGGTGAAAAAGCCCAATCTAGATATTTTTTTAAGTTGCATAAAGGATTTCCTTTTTCTTAATATCCAATGAACATAAACATCACGAAGAAGCTGTTAGGGACATGAATCTCCAAACACTAGTCCTCCCTAACTCCCTGCACCTCCCTGTGGCAGCACAGTGCTTGCTCATGTCTATAGATTCCAGCAGGCTGTTGAAGAAATGAAAGATTGCCCATTTTAGAAAAGACTATGTTACGCATACAGTTTGGGTTTCATTTTTGTTTCTTTTTTTTTTCCTCCCTTTTCCCATCCCCTCCTTTTATTCACAGTATAATTACTGATTTTCAAAGCAACGCATTCTTTCAAAATCCTATCAGAGGATCACTGGATGGATTAAATACTGACACTTCTCAGATAGGGGCATTAAATACTCTGACTACTGAAAATGCAAGTAGTCTGAGTTAGAGTGCTTGCAGTCACTGACAGCTTATTACCTTCTGAAGTTTTTCTTTGGAAAACTTAAGAATAAATAAATGTGGTTTTTTTCAGTTACAGGATGACTGTATGTGCCATATTTGTTGACTGGACTACAGTGTTACACAGTTCCCCCATCTTTACTCTGAGCAGCCTGACTGAACTCCCTAAGGATGAGGAAGAAGACTTACAACTATATTTGCCGGTCATATAATATTAGTTTTTCCCCATCGTATTTTTCATTAGACAGATACTATGTTGGGTTGGCAACAAAAATTGAGACAATTACACAGGTGAGGATGGAGGAACATAAAACTGGCATGACTAAAGAAGATGTACAAAAAGCAGAGAGCCCAGTACGGTCACCACTCGAAGAATACCAGCATTGCTTGTGTGGTTTCACAGGAAGCCGTTACATTACTGTTTTACAAATGGAAACAGCTGAAAGCGAAATATCATGCATCATACCAGTGAGGGTTTTTCGCTCATCAGACCTGTTGGTAGGTCCATATCGAGTAAAGACACCGAAGCGAAGGACTCCCCGAGGACTGCGCGCCCCGGTAGATCCGGTAGGTGCCAGGGGAAGCTCTGACAGAACCGCCGACACCAGGTGGCAGTGCGGACGCGCTCTTGCCAGCCCCCGACCTGCTCCTCGACCTGTCCCTCCCAACCGGTTTGTCCCAAGGTGCTGTTTGACATCCTTATATCAGAAGCCTTAGCTAAAAATGCGCCCAGGATCATACATATGTACATACAGAATTCCTGGCGTCTTTTTAGAGCTGCTTCCTCTTGCAGCTCCGTTTCCAATCTTTAACATTGCATTGTGGAACACTCCACAAGTGAAATTTGCTCAGAAAAAAAGGTAAATCTTACTCGTTTTTTCCAGGTAATGTCATTCACCTTTGGAAAAATAGTCTCAGAACTTCCCGCACTGAGACCCCTGGTGTTCTTTAAGACCATTTGAGCAGAATAGTCACCATTACTAAAAATCTAAGACTTTGATGTTGAAAAAAAGGATTCAATTCATAATTCAATTCTGAAGGCACAGCTTCGCTTGAGGATTTTATTCCTTCATTATTCATGCACAATTAAGTAACTATCAGGATGGTATAAATGCAATTTGTTTCATATAGCTGGCATTAAGCAGTTAAACATAATAATTAATAAACATGCATGAATTATAAATCTCTTCCTTTCTAAATGAGATGTATTGCTTTCCTCAGTCTCTTCAGAGGGAACTTTTAAGACTTCAAATCCCTCTGCACATGCATATGTTGCTATCAGACATACATGTGCAGTTTTACACAGCAATATGAAACTGTGACTTTCTAAAATGTACAGCAATGAAAAGGTGGTAAGCTAAAAAATGCAATGATATACCTTTACATTGTGAAGAGGCTGTTCTTTATAAGATCTACAAAGGTGTGAAAGCTGTATAAAAGTCCAAGATTGATATTCACATGATGTGAGATTTTTCTCTTGCAGAATTTGCAACACAGCAGAATTTTAAAAATTTTTCCAAAAAAGTAAATCCCAAATGACCATTCAGAAACAGTATGTTCTTAATAAGCCAAGTCCTTGAAACTACAAAATTAAATTAAAGTATTTAGATATGTTAAAATTTTTAAACTTACTGCATTTTTATTACAATATATCTGTTTCCAAGAGGAAAAAATTACATAAAGTAAGATTTTTTTTCCTTATTTTTCTCTTTTCTGAGTAAAAGACTTTTTACCCTCCCTATATTACTTACTCTAGGACACATATATGCACATTCACTGTGGTAAACCATTTCATATTTGATCCACTCTATTTCTTCATCACTTTTTGATAACACTAGGAATTTGTGCTTCTTCCCACTTTCAGAGATTATTGTTTACTTTCCTGACATATTTTCTCCATAAACAGATACATAAAAAGACCCTGTATTGTTCCTTTACCCTTAAGGATGCCAGCTTGAGTTAAGGATTTAGCTTTACCTAACCATACAGTGAATCTGCTTGTATGTACAGCTGTACAGAGAGCAACAAGGTCATCTTTGTATTATACTCTAGTCTGCTTAAGCACTGTGCCCCAGAAGCTCAAGAGAAGGTGCTTATTTGCAGAGGCATTGATGGCTGTCAGAAATGACAACTGCATTATTTTTATATTCTAATATTTCCAAACGAGGCACGTAGCTTTGCCTGTCACTGCAGAGTCTATATTCCAGGAGGTAAAGTAGAGCTGATCCACTGCCACATTTATTATACCAACAAAATCCACAGATAACACTCCCCCCCCCCATGCCTGGATTATTAAATCCCTTGTGAACTTTATTGCAATCCCTCATTTGTCTAAGGCACTCAGAAGCAGACACTTCATTCCTCAGTTTTGTGACGTACCATTCCACCTGTAACATTCAGTCTGTAACTGAATCGCTTTCCTTGCAGTTCCTAATGTTTGTCCTATTTGTTTTTCAGTTTTTCTTTTTGGAAGGCTGCACACGATGCCTCAGGATTGCATTCAGTTGTCTTTATGAAGTGGCAGAGGAAATACTTCCAGAAAAAAAAAGAAAGGAAAAAATGAGATGGAAATTTTTTCCATGGTTATTATTGTATTTTGCATGTGTCATGATTTTCTTATACAAGATTAAAAAAACAAATTCTGGGTTGCAATGTATGTTTGAGCTACAGATGGTAGTGAACTGGAGAATTGTAATGGATAGGCTATTCCATGGGACTCAGATAGACTCCCAGCAAGATTCACTGTTTGCCTTACTGAATACCTGAAAATACTTATGAAATGTTTAAGGCTGACAGGCAGGATGTTTGATGTCACTGGCAGCAGGGAAGTAAAAACTGGTCTAAAGGAAATGAAAGTTTAACTTAGAATGAGGCTAACAAATCCAGAGGCTAGAGCTCAGGTTTTAAACTAGACCTAAGCATATTGTTTGAATGACTTTCCATGGTGTAGCTTCACATGTTTAAAATAAATGGTTTAAAGA